GGCTAGGCCCGTGTGTCACTCAAGGAGGCTCATGGCCTTGCTGGGAAGAGGCTGGGGCTGGAGTACTTGCAAGAGGGTTGCGGGGATGTCAGGAGGGCGTGGGGCTGAGGACTCCAGGGCCCACGTTGGGAGGAGCTGAGTGAGCTGTCACCGGGCTGGGCCGGCCGGGCCTCGCCCTCACTCACCCCCAGGAGGTCGTCATCCACCAGCAGCAGCCCCTCGAAGCCGCCCGTGTGGTCCAGGACCACGGTGGAGGGGCCGAGCCGCCCTTCCACCTGCCCTGCAAGGAGGAGGGTGTGGTCGGGCCCAGGTCTGAGAGAACGCAGAGGGCTGAGCTCGCCAAGACACCCCCAGGGTCTGCCGGGCCCGGCCTGGCTCCCCCAACCCCACTGCAGAAGCGGCCACGTACCCTGGCTCTCCTCATCCTCACTGTCCACCTGTAACAGCTGGTCCAGATGCTCTGGCAGGTTCTGGAAGTTCAGGGGTTTCCTGGGGAGAGCAAGAGGCTGCGAGGGGCCCCCAGTCCCTGAAACCAGCCCAGGACACTAACCCCCCTTCTCCCGCCCCCCAAGCTCCCGAGGAGGCGGCCGAGACTGCAGAAGAAGCGTCGTGTCTGGCCCCGGAACCTGGCGTGCTGGGATCAGAGGGCGAGGTTAGCTGCTAAACTAAAAGTGATGTCCCATCTGGTGCCGCCTCAGGGCTGTGAACAAAGTCCGCTAAGCCTCAGCTCCCTGGTCTGCGGAAGCACCAGCAGCTGTGCGTCGGGGACGCGTGGGGGGGGGGGGAGTGCCACGTGCTCCCTGTGCGGCCCACACCCGCCCGCCCTCGAAGGGGCTGTGCTGATCTTGCCTGGAGAGCGAGGCTGGGAGCAACACTGACCCCATGTGGTCAGCACCAAGGTCAGCGAGTCAGCCCTGGACCCCAGCCCTGCGGTCCCTTCGGGGGCACCAGCCAGGGAAGCCCGTGTGGAGTGAGACACGCCTGGCATCTGCAGGGCTCAGCCCTCCGAGCTGCAGGCTGGCTCTGTCCTGTACCAACCTACACGGCCCACCACCTGCCCCGCCGGACGCTCTCTGCGTGGCCCGCACATGCTCAGAGGAGGAAGGGCCGTCTCGGGTCAGCCAGCTCTGCCCTGAGTTCAGCTGCTAAGAATAGCGGGGAAGGGGGAGGTGGACACCAGCGGGGCTCAGGCAGAGGGGAGGCCCAACGCCCTCTGGGTCAGGGCCACAGACTGCGGCACCTGCTCTTCCCGCTGAGATCCCAGCTCCAGCCCCGTCCACCCACCTAGGAAGTGGGGTCTGGAAGGGGACAGAGGTGACCACGGCGCCCATTCTCTGGCAAGGCAGCGCCAGCCCAGTCTCAGGGACCATGTGCTCCTCCCGGCTGTGAGCTGCTACTGACCCCTGGCTGCAGGGGCTGGAGATGCACAGAGCTGTGTCTCCGTGTAAATACAGGTGCCGGCCTGTGACGGGGACTCAGGCAGCAGTGTGAGAGGCTGCTGCCAGGCCCGGCCGGCGGGGCTCAGTGGTTGAGCGTCGACCTATGAGCCAGAAGATCATAGTTAGATTTCCGATCAGGAGCCAGCAAGTTGCGGGCTCGATCCCCGGTGGGGGCGTGCAGGAGGCAGCTGGTCCATGACTCTCTCATCATGGATGTTTCTGTCTCCCTCTCCCTTCCTCTCTGAAATCAATACAAATATATTTTTTAAAAGGCCGCCAGCCTCCTCACTGAACACGCCAGGGGCCCGGGCCCAGGAGGCTTCCAGCAGTTCTTCCCGGCCCACACCTGGGAGGGCTGCTCTGGTTTTTGTTTGTTTTTTTTGTAACATATTTGCACAGATTCATGCACCAGTGGGGTCCCTCGGCCTGGCCTGCAGGATTGGGCAGAAACTGGCTCTCTGACATCCCCTGAGGGGTCCCGGATTGCGAGAGGGCACAGACCAGAGACCAGGCCGAGGGACCCCACCGGGGCACGATCAGGGCCGGGGAGGGAGACGGGAGGTTGCCAGCTGAGGAGGGACCTCGGGAGGGCTCCAGGGCGTGTCCAGCCCATCTCAAGCAGTCCCGATTGGCCGGACCCCAGCAGTAAGCTAACCTACCTGTCGAAGCATCTGCCCCCTGGTGGTCAGTGCACGTCATAGCGAGTGGCTGAAAGGCCTTAGCATATCATTAGCATATTACACTTTGGTTGAACTGCCGCCCGGACGACCAGACACTTAAGCATATTAGGCTTTTATTATATAGGATTGATTTCAGAGAGAAAAGGAGGGAGGGAAAGAGAGAAACATTAATGATGAGAGAGAATCATTGATTGGCTGCCTCCTGCACACCCCACACTGGGGATCTAGCCCTCAACCCGGGTATGTGCCCTGACAGGGAATCAAACCGTGACCTCCTGGTTCCTAGGTCGATGCTCAACCCCTGAGCCATGCTGGCCAGGCAGGCTGCCCTGGTCTTGTGCCCGATCTGCAGAGCAGCTGTGGGCAGGCGACCTGAGATGGCCTCTCAGTGCCCCCGCACTGCCCATCTGGCCAACCCCAGCCCAGGGCTTCCCGTCCACACAGCCGCTGACCAATGGCCCTGCCACCTGCTCGCCCTCCTGGCAACCACGGTGGCGGCGGCAGCAGGATCATTTCTGCTGTCACATGAAGTAGGGATCAGACGGCCCTGGAGCAGGCCTGGACTGGGGCTGGGGTGGAGGTAGGCAGCAGCCCCCCAGAAGTAGGAACCCCTTGGCCACCACAGCCACTTAAAGGAACAGGCAACAACGCTGCCCTCTGAGCCTGCCCAGAGAACAGAGGCTGCGAAAGACAGAACAGCCTGGGCTGGCAAGAGGCTGAGCAAGAGAGGCACTCCCAGGAAGGATAATTTAGCAACAACCTTACATGTGATTGCGGTTCAAATACTCGAGCCACACGACTCCAAGCCCGGTGTCCTCACAGCTCGGTCCCCAAAAGCAAAGCCCCCCAACCAGGGCCCCGGCTAAGGGCGGACCCCGGCCCTAAAACACGCCCACCAGGATCAGTTTGCAATGTAGGAAAACACTCAGGGGATATGTTGATGACAAAAATAGGATTTAAATTTCTAAACACTTTTGGAGCTGAGAGCTATGTCCATTGTCTTGATGGTATGATGGCTTCACAGGTTATCCGCAATTCAAACTCACTTTAAACACAAGTGGTTTATTGTATGTCAATTATTCCCTAATAAAACTTAAAAAAAAAATGAACTGATGGAGACAGAAATTTTTAATTTAAAAAAAAAATTCTAGCCCTAACCGGTTTGGCTCAGTGGATAGTGCGTCGGCCTGCGGACCGAAGGGTCCCAGGTTTGATTCCGGTCAAGGGCATGTACCTTGGTTACGGGCACATCCCCAGTAGGGGGTGTGCAGGAGGCGGCTGATCGATGTTTCTAACTCTCTATCCCTCTCCCTTCCTCTCTGTAAAAAATCAATAAAAAATTTTAAAAAAACTTCTATTCAGCATAATCCAAACTATACAGATTGTGAGATGGAGAAATCCCGCCCAAATAGGCACCTTAGCTAATGCGCGGACAGGTGCCTTTCCTGCTTCTAAGTGTCTGCTAAGTCGCACTGGGACTGATATGGGTTAAGCTTAAATGCGTTAAACTTGCAAGGAAACGGGCGGTGAGGTGTGTCCTTCACAGACTCAGAGGGCCGGGTGGGGAGGAGCGGGCAGATGCTCACGGACCGATGCCGACTGCGGAGTCGGTGTAACGCTGAGCGCGGACCGGGCGCCGGCCTCTGACCCCCCAGCTCCCTCGGACGGAAGGGACTGGCACTGCCGGAGGGGAGAACGCAGCGGGACCCCCAGGCAGGAGC